AAATGATTGATTTTTGGCTCCACAAAACATTTACAGCAGATAATCAAGTAGAGCTTGATTCATTTTCAACTTTAAAGTTTCGTTCAATTTCAAGCATAAATAGTAAAAGAAAGTTGTAGTTAGTTCCAGCTTCTTGCGGCATGTGTTTCTAATCTTAAGTAACTTAAGTGTCTTTGGGTTCAGGACAGACGAAACAAGACATTTGATCTAAAATGACCCATATTTTTCTAAAGGCATTGTTATTACCATAATGTTTGTTCACCTTGCAGATCTCAAGTATAGACAGTCCACATTCCAAGTAATAAAAATAGCATGTGAGGATATAAAAGGTCTTTTCATATTATTCACATACCGTTGGTTTACAATGTGCTCTTTCTATGAGGGGAGAGTTCTGAATGGCATGGCAAAGAGGATGTGGTTTTGAGGCAACTGTGAGTGAAGTTTGCTGTAAGGTATGAACTGTCACTGACCCCCGAGAGACAGACAAGCCCAGTGAGTGTGGCTGAGACCAGTCTGGACTCAGGACACACAGCAAACAGCTGGAATTAGCTGCGTTACATTTACTCCGCTGACCAGAGGACTGAGTGTGAACCAGTGTGCTACACCAACACACCCCAGCCTCCTCTGGCTGCTGCAGCGACTTGGCATCCTGGTCAATTATAAATGTGTAAAGTCTGCATGTTGTTGATTTATGTGAGGCTCACACCAACACTGCAGTCAGAGGATCAAATGGAGATTTATTATTTGATTCATTTGTACCAGATTGAATATTGAATGTCCCTGACGTGTCAGTGATTTTTCATGAGAGTATGTTAACTATGTTTTTGTTTGTGGGGACTGAATTAACAGATTGAATCAAACATCCAGTTTACAAAGTTTAAGGTTCAATGTGCAGATTGAGGGGAAACAATAATAATAAGTAATAAATTCCTCCACTCACGTGGTCATGTTTTCATCCCTGTTTGTTTGTCTGACAGCAGATCACACAAAAGCTGCTGAGCAGATTTCCATGAAACGTAGTGGAAGGATGGGACATGGGGGCAGCTCCAGGATTTCCTTTGCTCACTCTAACATTGTCAGATAGTGTTTGTTTTCTCAGATGTCTCAGATAATTCTTGGACCTTGATGAAAGATGAATCATCATATTTAGAGGACTGATATTTCTGAGTGTGTATAATTTGATGCAGCTTGATTGAAGTCAAGTAGGCTGTTGGCCGCCCTTGGCGGAGGTATGTGCTGCATCTACTTCAGGAGTGGGTACTGTTGTTCACTTTTCAGTTTAGTAAAGTTCATGCAACAAATCGTCTTGGTTATATTTACAAAAAGATCTTGGTTTGTTTTAAAATAGACCCTTTCACAATGTTAACCACGTGCACAGACATTCTGGCAGAAAGCCTTGGAGGCAAACTTCGCCCATGTTGGAAGTGAGTCCTCCACACAGTCTGCCATGTTCCACCAGTGTTACTACAGCAGCCAAGACTCAAACACTGGCTCCACAGAGGCTCCGCCATGTTCTGAAGTTACCTGAAGGCCACTTTAAGTTCTCCTACATGCAGGGTGAAGCCGGGTTATTTCATCTGGTTGTACGCTCCCCGCTACGTGTCATTAAATCCTCCACATCGAACCTGAAACATTTACATTTAGAAATGTACCTCCACTAAATCACATGTCTGGTTAGGGTGTAGATTTGGAGGTTTTCTCAGAATTGTTGATGTCTTTAATAAGACGTCATTTTATCTCGTCATGGCTTTAAATTGCAGAGGGTGAGAAAATACCAAAAGGAGGGCTGCCAGGGGTATTTGTTCTAAGAGACTTGGTTCTGGCGTGTGGCCATAGATATTGATGAATTGAAATGATGAAAAGACAGAAAATACTTTGCATTCACCACTGTTTTACTTCACATAAACACAAATGACAAATGTTTCACTAAGGATGATGTTTTTAGTCACATTTTCCTCATCTCTCCCTCAAATCTTCAATTCTCTTCATACACAGTCTCTTTCAAAGACCTGCCCTGTCTAAATCTTTGATTTATTTGAATAAGGTCTGCCTTTGAGATTCAATTTCGCCCTTTCAGTGGTCTAAGAAAGAAATGCCCCTGTGATTATTACTGATCACAGCCAATGTTTCACCTTCCCCGGGCAGAACAAGCTGCCCTCTGTTCTATAATCATTCTAGCATGTCGTGGTCAGAAGCTGCCCAGTTCATAGAATGACCTTAATGCGTAACTTCTGTTACTTAACCTGCAAATGTTGCTTCCTTTGAATCAAACTCGTTAATTGATGCTTTTCTGCAAGTAGAATCCACAATAACAAGAGCATGGGTGTGCAGGGTGTTTAGCATAAAGGCCTAAACGTCCTTGAAGAGCAGCAACAAGATTTGAATTCTGTTTGTCCACACAGAATCATTTGAAGAGGCATGCCTAGATAAATGGAAACTGTGGCCCCTCAGGGATATTTTAGACTTTCACAGATACAGTGCTGTGATTTTATTTGAGTATGTGTGTGAAGAGGCAGAACAACAGTAACCAGAGAGCCCATATCTGGTTTTATTTCTCTTACGTAAGAAGTGAACCTGGGGCATTCAATGGTTTGTTACACTGAACAATCTGAAGAGGCTTCATTGGAAAAGGGCAGGCGATGGAATGAATCATCTGTTTATTAGAAGCAGAAACATCTTCAGTGTCGTTCTTTGCTCTTCTTTCATTGAAGGAATCCTCCAGTTCCTGATGTAACTGATGTCGTGGTCACACAGAGTTCTCATGGTAATGTCGCCTGTAAGCAGAGAAACCATTTCACAACACTCTGCTCCCTTCACTGGTTACCAGTGGCTGCCCGCATCCCATCTAGACACTAGTACTTGTACTGTGCTGTGAACAGATCGGGTCCAGTCTACATCCAGGACATGGTCAAACCTTACACCCTGGCTCGTCCACTCTGCTCTGCATCGACCAATCAGCTGCTCCCTCACTGTGAGCTAACACCCAACAGAATCACGACTGTTTGCTGTCCTGGCTCCTGAATGGTGGAACGAGCTCCACATTGATGGTCTAGTAGGTACCAGCTGTGTAGGAACCTGTAGTACCCAACCTTACATAGATGAAGACGTCAACTCAGAAAGGAGACCAGATTCAAGAGTTATTGGTGATAAGGGCAGAAACCAGTGATCTCTGCTGTGGAATCTACTCACTGTGCCCTTTTTCTGCAGAAAGTCCAGCCTCCTTTTTGCTGATGTTTTCTGTACTTCATGTCTGTAAATGGCTTAAGATACACTTCTCCCATTAGTCCCCTTCACACATAACCCTTATTGGTCTGAACCGCTGTGTGTCAGCCACAAGGGAAAAGCGAGATGTCGGGCGAGATGGATTCTGACACCTGAGGAAAAAATGGTTTCACAATTTTAGTAAGAAATAATGGCAATGGTTTTAAAAGCAAAACCCTGATCAGCACCGGTTGTTTCATCCAGAAGCTGTGTGTTCTTAACACAACAAGACTGCATGTCCAAAAATCATTCCCTCTGACAGTTGTGTTTTGTTTCACTGTTAACTGACAGGTGCAGTTTCAGAAAGTCCAGCAGCTGCGTTTGTGTCAGCCACGGGTTCAGTACTACGGAGGCTCTCTGCCCAACGTCAATCAGATCGGCAACACCAGCACTGAGTTTCAGGTGAGATCTCATCACAGTCAAAATATACAGCATCACAGCGACTACATAGATTAACAACTCTTTTAGACACATTTTCATTTATAAAACCTTCTCTCTGGCATTTAAAGTTTTCAAGAAATACCAAATTGCATATTTTCTTAAATAGGCTTTTGATTTTGTCCAGTTCTTGATATAATAACTGTCAGGGAAGCCAGCTCTCCTGCTTTGATGAGAGTATTTCTTTTTCCAGGCTTAGTTCCATTGTAATAAACTTACAGCTCTGTTTTTATCTCTGTCAAGGAGGTTATGTTTCTATCAGCATGTGTTTGAGATGTTCCGCTTCCAACATCAGCTTTATTCCTGCAAATCACTTCTTAATCATTGCTCCAAAATAGCAGTTGCACTGTTGTGGCAGAAGAAGTGATTTAGGGATAGCTTTTTTAAATGCCCTGGTATCAGCCCTCGGTATCAACTGATACACAAAGTCCACGTATATTCTCTTATGGGATTCTTCACAATCATTTGATCCTCTGTCTGGAGGATTATGAGGTAATAGTAGAAATGTGCTCTAGTAAAATAAAGTTTAATAAAATGTTTAGGCAGCTAGAAGAGGTGGTGTTTATTCACAGTCTGAACATGAGCTTACAGATAAATCAGTGGAGCAGCATGTGAGGAGATGAGAGTGTTGTAATTAGTGGAGTTTATTTTATATGAATGTACTTTGATGATTTTTCAAGCAAAATGATGTACATATGAATATCTGTCTCTAAAACCCTGTTTACCTTGAGATTGCATCTATGAAATCCAGGGTCTTATTCTCATTCAGTTCTAATGTTAACTAGAGAAACAGTAAAACGCTTCACTGGACCTTCAGAAGTGCAAACAAGCTTCTCCTGAGAGCCTTAAATAATTCAGTCGAGTTTCTGACGAAAAACTATGAAATCAAAGGTCTGGCTGAAGCAGAGCTGTATGTGTTGTATAGTGTTGCATAGTGTTGCATAGTGTTGCTCCACAGCCCTGAGACTGTATCTGTGTCAGCTCTCCAAGGACCTGGCTCTGCTGGAATACAGGGGCCAGGTGACGGTGTCCTTGCTACTTGAGAGAAAGGCCCTTTGAGGCAGAGCAGTAACTGCAGCTCTGTGACCAGGTCCAGAAATCAAACCCCCTCAGTGATCCAGTCCATTCAGCTTCTCAACATAAACGGTGTCTAGATTCCCCTTGATGATAATCCCTCATTAGACCTAATTCAATCAAATGAATGTGGAGTACTTCATATTACTCTTTACTTTATTAAAAGCCTGCAGTTTGTGAGCAATGTCCCTGGGATCAGCATTCAAAAGTTCAAATGTGGATTTTACTCTACATTCACTTTGTTGTTGACTGTATTAGAAGTAAATTTAGTGTGAAGTGGAGGAGGACTCAGAGAGCACCTAGCTGCACTCACTGGCGGCTGTGGCTGAGGGGTAGAGCGGTCATCCTCCAACCAGAAGGACGACAGTTCGAACGACATGCCGAACCCCGAATTTCCCCTCATAGAACCAAAACCAGTGCTGCTAATGCACTGTATGAATGTGTGTGTGAATGGGTGAATGGCAAACTGTACTGTGAAGCGATTCGAGTGGTTATCAAGACTAGAAAGGCATCATATAAACACAAACCATTTACTGGCCACTTTATAATCATTTATTGGATCAGATACATTTTACCAAATGAATAGAACATTCTGGCCAAAAGTATAAAGTTCCCATCATTTCTTCCGACTGAGACTCATGTCACATTAATACGGTCCAAAGGCTATTTCACTTAAACCTCTCGGACTTCAAATTCAATTAAAAAACGAAAACTAAGAACAGAACAAAACTACTTTAACAGTTAAAGCAAGAAAAGAGTTCCTCCGCTCATTTAATACAATACTTCTACATCTATTGGATTATTGTCCTCTACGTGTTGTTCCAACTGGTGTAGAAATGTAGAAAAAATGTGGAAGTGCATGTTGTAGTTCTAGCACACTGCCAGCTGCTGGCAAAAGTCTGCCACTGATGTAAAAATCTTCATCTGGCAACAATATATATAGTATAGTATATCTCAGTCCAGGCAACACAGTGGGATATTAATCATTGCTCATTTTCTTATGCTAAAGATATAGTTAATTCTTTGAACTATAGTAATAGTTCAAAGTGGGCCTATTTAAATAAAGCCAAAGATGGGGATTGTGTTGTTGCTGTGCTTCGTCGTCAGAAAGTAGTTGATGATGAATGATTCTTCACTTTTTTCCATGTTGTTGCTCCTTGTCACTGATATATTCAATTCAATTCAAGTTTATTTGTATAGCGCCAAATCATAATATACATTTTCTCAAGGCTCTTTACATAGAAGGTCACAAGCTTAAAAATGATAGAGAAAGCAACAGTTCCCACAATGAGCAGCTCTGAAGACTGGGTGAGTCTCCCTCTCTTGTCTGTGTGGTCTTGATACATCTTTTACGCCGTGTTGTAGATTAGATAGATTCACAACAACAAATCCTCTTTTCTCCGTTATTGCCCATTTAGTTTGCAATCTGTCTTAATTTTGGGAAGGTGGCACGTGAAAAGGGTAATTTCCCTCAAATAAAAAGCCTATTTTAAGGAGTAAGGAGTGTAATGCAGATTAGGTTTTAGGTTAATTGGAGACTCTGATTTGATCATGAGAGTGAATGATTGTTAGTCTCTAGGCGCCCCCCCCCCCTGTTATCATCACACATTAAATTTGATGACGAGGTTGTTAATTCATAGGATGAGTGAAATCTCTGTGAAGGTGTAACTGGATACAGATTCAATGGAGTTTTTTGCAAAATGAAAACCATTCATACAGAACCAAGGTTTCTATTGATCTCTGTCAAAGTGTAGAAACTCCACTGTTTCTGCGTCTGCTTTAAGAAGACTCCTCCTGTCTCTGTCTCAGGGTGGTTTCCATTCAGGATTGGACTCCATCAGAGGGACACGCCACCATGGGCTGGTCGAGAGGGTTCACAGGGGCCCCAACCGAATCAACTCTCCCCATCGCCGACCCATCGACAAGCACGGACGGCAGATATCCTTCTATATGTAAATGCTGAAAGTAGGAGATCCCACAATGTGTCATGATGAAAGTTGAATCGATTCCAGGTTTATTGTGTGTTTTTCCTTCAATGGCAGTTTGTGTTTATGTGGTTTTAAACAGGGTGGATGTGAGTATTTAATCATAACTATATAACAGACAGTAGCATTAACAGCTGATCAGTCCATAGAAAATATTGTGAGTTCATTCTTTTACACACCAACAACAATGATGTAATCTGTTGTTCTGTTTCTATCTTTGACATGAAACGTGGTTATTTGCCTTCTGGAAAATCTAAAACGTATAGCGCGGAAACAACAGTATTAGCAAATACAGTGGCGCGGGGCTAACTGTTTAGCATGCTAACCTCAGTAGATATCTTGACACTACAATACATAGACGTCTTTGACATAATGACATGTTTTGTTTTTCACTGACCGGGGGTGGCTGCTGTTTTTCAGCCTCAGGGAGGAAAGTATTTATTTAGACTGTGTGTGACGCAGAGACACATGGACATTGACTGCAGCAGATTATCAGCATTCTTTGAAGACTCTTTCAGATTGAGTGTTGCAGCAGCAGATCTTATTCTGTGGGAAAGAGAAGGGTCTAATTGTTTTGATGGTGATAACACACAGTGAGGTGTGTTTTAACTTTAAACGCTTTAATTCAAAACTAATTTCCCCAGAGTGTCCTCAGAGCTGAAACTGAGCACAAACATCATTAATTTTCTGCCACATTTTGTTCAAGTTTCCATGATTTCTCATCACATAATTCTTGCTTTGTAATATTTCATAAAGCAGATTGTGTTGTATAAATTGCTCCCATTTACAATGCACAGCTAATCACCATGAATTTTGTCACCAGTCAGAAATCTTGTGTGCTTATCCGTTTCATAAGTCTATGCAGAAAATAGGTATCTGTCTCGTGAAGAATTATAGAGACGCACAAACCAGTGCTTGAATTTAGACACAGAATGATGAGCAGTTTCCAGTTACATAAAATATGGATGGCCTTGTGTAACTCAGTAAATCGACCTGAAAAATGAAAATCTTCTTTGGAATCGGGTTAACCTCAAACCCTAACTCATTGAGCTGCACTTAAGAATAAGAAGATTGATGCAGCTTGAGAATCCTGAACACTGAACCATCTGATAGTAGCCAACATTAATTTCTCTGTGCTTAACATTTCCATGGTAACAGCAAGCTGCACAAATCAGAGACATCACTACTACACCTGAGGATTATCGGTAGTTTAGAATAATTTAGAATAAAACACAGTTGATATCATATTGAGGCTGATAATTAGACATTTATTCAGAAAATAAAAGATAGAATAGATTAGATTACTGAAACTGACTCAGGATTGGTTGAGAGCGTGTATGGGCAGGGCCTCTATACCAAGGCTCCACTTCCTGGACTCACAACTGCAAAAAACGTCAAAAGCTCACGAGGGTGGCACCCGCACCCAGAACATTTAGTTTCATTTTTGTATCATAGGAACTGAAGAGAAATCATATTTCTATACAATCTATAGGAGTTCTGCATGCCACTAAGAACTGAAGCGAGTTTGGCAACCTTCAAACTACAGACCGTCTTCAACTGTGGAAAGTGGTTTTAAACGAGCAGAGCAGCGTCTTGAAAATGAAAATGGGTTGTTTGTGTCTCTGGCTCATCCAATCACAGTGCCATGAAAGAGGAAATGTGGTTGGTGGCTGATTAACTAAAGAAACGCACAGTGATTTTTGAGATGTTTCCCAGTTTTACTGTCACTGCTTGTGTAGTGTAGAGAAATGCTCGCTCATTCATCGACAGAAAACTGTTTGGGGTTAATCCCACTTTGACTGTAGCTTGTTGATAGATGTGAAACTACTCAGTGAACCAGTTGGACAGGATACTTACCTCTCTTTCTCCGTGTCTGCAGACACCACAGTTCTGCCCTTTCCACTACAATTTGTATTTGTGTAGTTTTGCAAAGGGCCTTATCCTGTGTTTTGTGTGAGAGGTAATGAGTGATGGTATGTCTTCAGTCTCCATAAATCTCTCTCACTACTGATAATAATTTGCCCAAGGCCTGAGCAGATGCTTTGCAGAACATTGTTCGGCCTTATGCGCCACCTAATCTCTGCTATTATGTGTTTTTGTTGATCAGTCAACATATTCAACTCTCCACCCAGAACAGCGATCCAGAAGCAGCCTGTGTCAGACGAGCTCAAGGACTGTCAGTATTCAGCAGTAAACCAAATAATGAGTTCATTGTTTCGTGAAGTAATTGAAAATGGAAGATTTATCGTAGACACTTACTTGGTCACAATAGGGCTTTGATGAGAATGTGGTTACAGAAGTTTCTTCTCTTGTTATATGTTCAACTCCTCATGGCGTTAGTCCTTTGATCTCGAGTTGGAACCCAGTCTGGTTCCTTTGTAGATAACGTCAGTGTTGATACGTATCAGTTTCAGATATATACAACATACTTGTCTTCTATTTCTTTCTTTGTGACGATTTCAAATAACATATAAACATATTTGTATCAAAGTCATGAGTCTGTGTTTGTTCTGATAATTTCCTTAACAAACCCCACATGGAGAGTTCTCCATATGGAGCAGTGTACCTGTCCCCACCTCCGGACAACAACTGGAGAAGGTGAGTCGTGCATCTCTCCAGCTGCTGACTGTCACTGTGTTCTTCCTCTAATGAGATTTTTAACAACAGGAACTGTTTCCTGTTGCCAGCGTGCTTCCTGTTTCAAACCTCTCTCTCTATCTACTGCTATCAAGGCACAAGTGGTTTCCATCAAACACTCAGCAGCACTGAGCCAGTGTGATGTTGGAGCTGTTGCTGTCGTTTCTGCAGAAATGCTTCACATATCAGGATGCTGTGTTAGCCCTGGGAAGCCTGCATCTAACTAAAGGTGTTTGACAGATAGCCTTTTGCTCTAAAGGTCATAGCCAACAGCAGTAGTCCTGCTGTTATGGGATTTAATGTTGTCACAGCATCGTTGCCTTGTGGGGCAGAATCTCCCCCTTAGCTGAGATTGAGTTGCTGCTCTAACACGATGCCAGACGAGTCAACCTTGATGTGCGCTGCAGTTTGTTTCCCAGCTCTGGTTGTGCCTTCATAGAGCAGTCTGTGTTTGGGTAGACAGCTTTTCCCCAGTGTTTACAAGGGATGAATTATGGTCCTGTGATAAAACTGCTCAGCCAGGCTCCTCCCCGCTCACTCTCTGGACATTTGTGTTTTGTACGCTGGCTTCTGGCCGGCTGCCAGTCTCCCTGCTTCTTCTTCCGCAGCACAGACTCCAGGCTCAGAGTGGAGCGAACTGTAACAGCTTGTACTGTAGAAGTGAGCGGGGCCCACGCCCTCTCATCATTGTTGACAGCACAAAACAGGTTGGCTGACAAACGTCCTCATGGAGCAACCAGACGTCAGTGTTCTCAGAGTGGGTGTGTTTCTGGAAGCGCCATGTGGCACCATGCGCTGAATGCAGACTTTCACGTTTAATTTGAGTAGCTTGGCTTCCGACTGTGTTCTCAACCAACAGTGAGCATCACATCATATAAACTTACGTTAGAAAAAATGTGGCTGCCATTTTCCTTCTGTCATGAAACCATGTGCAGACGTGGTTAGTCTGCATGAAGTGAACCTCTGAAATGATGAATATCTGTAGCTTGAACCTGTACATGGTCTAATCGAAGCTAAGATGTAAAGTAATGTATGCCTTCTCTATTCTAGTCATGCTGATCTTGTTCATATTTCATTCATTTACTCTTCCATCATAGATTTCAGTATTTCTATATGTGACTGCATCAGCTCTGTCAAGTCTCTGCAGGCCAAGCTTCACCTCCTGCTCCAACCTGCAGCAGATTGTTGTCACAGTGTGTAACAGAGATACACTTCCCCCACTGCAGTGAATGATGTCACTGGCAGAGACAGTAGGGGCAGCTTAAAGCGTCTAATGTCCACACGTGCAAGTTTTAGTTTTGTAGTCTTTTAGATGATTGTTGAATATGTATGCTCACTTGTAAAATATTGATTTAGTTGTTATCTTTTCTAAAGATTCAACTAACATAAAAAAATAACTGCTCCTTCTCTTTCATAATCCTTATTGCTCACTTATAAAAAAATCTTCAGGACGTTTTTCTTGTTGGCAGGATGTCATGACATCATCAGTGTCCAAAAGATAGATGGTCACATAGTCATACAGAGAAGACCAAAGTCACTTAGAGCATTACACTGACAAAGTCCAGTTGGATAATAGAGCACAAACTTTCCTTTAACAACTTCATCATTCTACAATCAATAAAACCCTAATGCAGTTTGGTTTGTATAGTTACTGATTTTTGTTCAGACCAGTGAGTTCAGGCTGAGCTCCTCAGATCACATTCCATTTAAACAGGACTAGAAACATGTGCAGTGTTTGAGTGATAATCAGAATTAAAGTCACTGTTGCTCCAGCTTTTCAAGTTGATTCCTGGTCATTTCATAAATTGTATTATTAATAATGTCATTACATCTGCATCTCTTTGTACTGTAGGTTGGATATGTGGACAAAATGAATGAGCTGTATATCAGTGTTGTGTTTCAGCTGAAGTCTTGCCTGAGTACGGAGGCTTTTAAAAGAGGAGAGTATTTTAAAAACATTCTCCTCTTGTTCAAAATCAGCAACAGTGACTCAGTTTTATATCCATCCATGGAAATGGTCACAGGCTGTTGTGTTGCAGTGAGAAGCAGATTCCCTCCTGTCCGTCTCAGGGGAGAATGGGGCGGTAAGTGTTTACAACGCCAACCACATCTGCAGTGCATTAACGCCAGTCAGCTCTGGAGAAGAGCCACACAGCTTTTTAACTGTTTCATTGCTTTAACGGCCACAGCAGTGATCAGCCACTCATTCTCCAGCCCTGATGATTGGCACAGTGCAAACACATTTTCTCACTCGTGTGTGTTTGTTTTAGGATCATTCTGGTGAAGCCTCTGTCACATTATACCCTAAAAGCATTGGGTCAATATTAAGGGATGGTCAGGCATGACAGAAATGCAGGGGCACTGTTCACACAGCCTCTAACTGCTCCACAGCAGCAGCCCAGCCAACAGATCTTCCCCAGATTTGGTGAAGCTGTTTTTTTTTCTCTTGAGAAAGAAGAAGTGATTTCCCAACTTATGTCCATCTGCAGTGAGTCGGGCCATGATTTTGATATCCACCATCTGTCCTCTCATGGTCGAAAGCTTTCTTGGAAATGATGCTGGTGCCTGGGATGAGATGCACTTGAAGGGGTTTGGTTCCTGGGGGTGAATGATACATCAGACCTGAGCACCGGCCTGGATGTGTCCCTTTAGAATCATCTGCTTGAGGGTCACAGCTTCAGTCCAGTCCCACGCTCTCCTCCTCCTCTTTCATCCATCATTGGCCTTCTATTCCTGTACCAGCCTCTCTCGGGATGAAATCTCAGACCAGGCTCTCAGGAGATTGCCCTGCAGTTTTTCCTTCCATGGGGAGAGATGTACAATTTTCGCTGCTTCTTTGGGAGATGTTGTTTAATGACCTCTTTTTTATATAGAAAGTAACCGATCAGGATTTTTGGTTCTGATCTCAGATCGTTTGAAGTAGTATCAGCCTAATCACAGAGTCTATGTCCCTGTTAATGCCTGATTAACATGCGTCTGGAGTGATCTGAGTGACCAGTAACCATAACCCTATATGCAAATAAACTCTACAGGCCTGAATCCTACTGTCTTTGTCAGTAAATGTCCATTATTACTGACAAGTTGTTCCTGTGTTTTCAGTTCAGCGCCACATTGAACTCCTGTATCAGCCTCTGTCACATGTTCCACTGTCTGCAGCTGCAGGAGTGACGCTGTGTTGAACTGAACTATATGAGCTGGACTCACTTTCTCTGATGTTTTCACTTCACAGATAGATGATGAAGAAAGTCATTAATACCAGTGAAAGCAGAAATGTTCGCTCTGCTCAGTGTCTGTCCTGCCGGGCTGTGACAGGCTCTAACCCGAGTCAGGGGTCACACACAACAGAACACAGTAGAGGAGGTGCTCAGACAGACCGCTCGTGATAGAATCCCCCACTCTATATGCAAATTACCACGTACATCAGCCAGTTTGCAAAAATGAAATGTGTTTTGAAAAGAGGAAATACGTTGTGTTTTAACCGACCACAACACTGCTGAACCAACACACTGGTACAAACGCACACAAAAAAATTTACATGAGGAAAGAAATAATTTCATGCATAACGTTTGCTGAATTTACAAGAAGGCTCAAATGATGAAGAAGTAGTTGTAGACAGCGTTTCACTAAGTTTGTAAAGTTTCTCGTGACTCAACAACTCTCAGAAGTGCACGATTTAAAAGGGAGTCTGGTGTTTAAAATCTGACATCTGAAAATCAGTAGTGGACAAAGCTCTTAGTTTAACTTCTTTGTTTTTTCACTGCACAATCAAACAGTTCATGAAAGAAGCTTCCTGTTGTATGACTGAAGGCATGAAGCTTAATTATCAGCAAATACTAGTCACGATTATATTGTTTGGGGCTTTCCAAACATATCTGGAAAAGTTTAATTTGCCAAGTTTATTACAAGGTAGGGTTTCATTTTGACCACTAGGGTTAAATTACAAAACCTGGTCAAGTGGGTGACCAACGGTACAGAGTTTCCTTACATTCAATTAAGCTGCACCACCTTTCTCACAGTCGTAGAGAAAAGTTCCTCAAATAGGTCTAATGAGTTCTTCCTGGACATCTCATCCTTCCACCACGTTAAGGACAAAGAGGAATCCCAAACCTCACCTCGTCGTTCTTAAAGCACCTGAACCACATTACAAGTGAAGAAAATACACAGAGGGACAATATTTTAATTAAACTCCAGCCAGTGCCCATCGTGACTGCACATAGTGACAGACAGATTTTTAAATCCATGACGACAGTAGCTGGTTGTCAGTGTGTTGAACAGGGGCTGGGTCAGTTACCGTCCTATCTGCCTCATGCAGGGAAGCCTGTTCATAAATAGATAAAAAGTTCAGTTGAGCCTTTGAACCTTTTGTAATTTGAGAAGACTAGTGTAAGAAAACCAGTGCTTGTATCTCCAAGAAGAGTCAAAACCCTGTCCTGCAGAACGCTCCAGAAAAATCCACTTGGTCACCGTCAGGCTTCCACAATGACTCTTCACATCCACTTGTTGTTTCTCTCTCTGACCACCGAAGTCCTCAGGGAGCTGGTTGGGTTGCAGCGGTTTTCTCTTCCCATTAGAAACGAGAGAACTGTTTGTGACTGGTCCTCAGGTTCCTGGTCTGCATTCATTCTTCCTGTTATCACTCCTGTTTTCACTCTGCTATTAACGTATATTCTTTTCCTCAAATTGAAAACAGTATTGTGCTGTATCTATTTCTACTGTAACAATTTCTCTTTTCCTCACATGTGTCAACACCAATACATCATGTTTTATTACTGATTTTTCCTCCTTCTTAAACTTTAGGGCAGGAGCCAGGGCTCGCACCTTTCACCCAGTGATTTATCTGTCTTGCTTTTCCTCTGTCTGTCTTTGAAGGGAACAGCAGCCATGGACTGAGGAAAAACGGCCTGGGTTTAGATTATTATCACAACTCAACAGGTGACCCTTGACCTCTCTCTCTTTCCCTCAGTCGATCTTTACTGCCTTATCCCTCGCCCTCAGAAGCCAACAGTTCTCTTCTTTCTCTGTGAGCTCACAACGTCCTGGTTTCTATCCTTCTGTAAATCTCTGCCTGATTTGTAACATCTCAGTAATCGTCTCTTTCCTCCTCTGAAGCACTGACATAGAGGGGCACTGAGACCGATATGGTAGATTCCCTAATCTCTTTTTCTCTTTGTAGTTTTCCACTCATCTTTCTGGTTTGTTATTTCTGAATTATTAATCAATAGTTCCTCTCTAACTAACCCAGCTTCAGGACTCATGGCTCCTTCGCAGTCTAACATCAAGGCTCCTTCTCTTTTTGTTGCTTTCAACCTTTTTACATTCTTCTTCACGTGTTGTGTTATAATTTTCACATAAACACTAGGGCTGTAACGATTCACAAACCAAAACTGAAACTACGGTCCATGGTTTCGGTTCACGATACACGAAGACGGAACCGCAACACGTCTTCCTGCCCAACTCCCCACGCTGCTGCGGGTGCAGCCTGTTGTGTGTATGTGTCCGATCAAATTTCAATCCAACCACAGCCCTGCGTAATCTGAACCAACACAGAAGTGACCAGTATCTTCAGAGAGTGTGGAGGTCGGAGAGGATTGTCTGTTTTACTCTTACTAAAGTGCGTTGTAAGGTCTGCGTGTTGTCGGCGCTCGGGATCAGACGCAGAGTCTCTGAAGTCAGAGTCAGGAGTATATCAGGTGCCGGAGTCAGGTGGACTGTTAATTCCTTACAGAGTTTCCCTAGAGCTGCCGGCCTGTTTATGGCCGACTGACTGACGGACTTGACCATCGACGGTACCGTGATGACCTGAAGTTATTGAAGCGACACCGACACTTCTCTTTCACTTTACTTTCCTGAGTTGTTGGTTTATGAAGATCCGCAGTAAAACCCACAACAGCTTATTTTTGTTATTTGAACTGGATTGAACTGAACTGTGTTGGACTAGTAAGGGAGACTGAAACTGATTTTATATATATACACGGATTGAGCTCTGGACATTGAGACTGGGACACACACACACACACACACACACACACTTGTTCACGTCTTCTTATGTGAAGTCAAGTCCCACATATTCGTTAGTGTTCTTCTCTTTACTGTTCCGAATGTTGGTGCTGCTTTTTCTGAAATTCACCCATGCTTCTTAAGCACCCACTACACCCCCCCTCTAAAATAAAACAAAGTCCGAACCGTGGATTCTGCGTATCGTTACAGCCCTAATAGTCACTGCTATAGGCCCAGTACAAAGATGATTACAGGACCAAATGTTTCAAACACTGACTGTAAGTGGTAAGTTTCTTATATACAGGTATGATTTCTGAGTCTGTCTTACTGAGCCTCATCGTAACACAGCTCTGTGGCTAGTCCATCACATTACATTCAAACTTGTTACAGCCAACTGTCAGTCAGAAATATAAATGTGTGAATCTTTTCAGATGGTACATGTGTCTAGTTTTCACAGCTCTACAGAAACAGCCATACTGCATTTGATTTTTGCCTGTTAATATATTAATATAATACATTCGGTGCTTGACAGATTCATTTACTCAGCCTAGATTTAAATGCAAAGCTCGGTGAAACACGTCGTAACTCACTTAGAGACGGCAAAGAAAGAATTTTCCCAAATCTCATCTGATATGTTGACCTTTATTTCATCTAAAACTTAGCAAATTAGGTCCATTGCATACATGGAGTGCTCCAACATTAGATGGTTTCTTTAGATATTGTTTTGCTTGGAAGTGTTGAATTTAAAATACAACAAAAATAGCTTGTAAACTATTTAGATCTTTTAGTTTCATCTTTATATATATTTATATATGTTTATCAACTTCATATTCACACAGAATGATTACATCAGTTTCTTTTTACAGCAGCTGAAAAATATACTGATCTGATGGAATTATTAGAGTGATCTCATTCTTAGATCTGGAGCTTTGAGGGAAAGTAGTGATGACGCATGAATGAAGGCACTGAGGCGTAACAGAGCACTAGACAAGCTCTCATCCGCACTGATCCAGGACTCAGGGGTTTGTGTGGGTTTACGATGAAAGTGAATGTACAGCTCGGATGGACTCTGCAAGAAGATATTGATTTCAAAGCTAAGAATATTTTGTTGCTGTGAATTTAAACTGAACAGTGAAATAGATTTGGTGAACTGTAATCTCATCTGTGAAGCACAATGTGTTCATCACAGACCAACAGTCGGTCCTGTGAGGGTGTTTGTGTGTGAAGTCAGTGTGAGCCTGCAGCTCCTGTGGAGGCGGAGCAGGAAGCACAATGATGGTCCTGACCAATCATCTGCCTCTGTCCAAGGTGCTGGAACACTGTGCATCATTCTCCTCTTCCTCCTACACAGAACCAATTCAGACTCGGCTCTCCACACGAGCGCCATGAACCCGAACCCTCAGGACCCCTTTGGCATTCACCAGCAGATGGGTCGAGGTCCCCACCAGCGAAATGGTGAGAGTTACACAGAAAACACGAGATACAACATACACATCTTCAAATAAACCAGATGTTTTACTTGTGTGTCTGTTTGGTTGCTAAAGATTTAGTCATCCGTCCAAGAGACTCTGGTGTTAAAGGTGAGTCAAGAGAACTCCTCTCCTGGTGAAGAGAACTCCTCTTCAGGTGAAGAGAACTCCTCTCCTGGT